TTTCTGCTTTGTGAAGGCAAACTAAATCAATGACTTATCTTAAACAGTGAAAATCCCACCAGATTTCTTCAGTTATCTGGCTATTTATGCTCTGCTTATCACCAAGTCATCTGTCTGCTCCACTGAGATTACGGCTAACTGGGCTTTGCCTTATTTGGGCTACGAACGACAACTGAAAATCAATGCTGTCTTCCCAGGTTTGTGGTCGTCCAGATTCTGACCAATCGCTAGCATAAACTATCTGGCTTGTTATAGTTTCGATTTTTCTGTTTCAGTCTCCTTTGTTTGACCACATAAGTTATTCCCCTTGGACTCATGGGCATGAAATACTAAAATCCACAGCAAAAAGTTGTTTGTTCAAAAAACAAAAACAAACACAAAAGATAACAACATTTTCACAACTGCTGTTAAGAAATACATGTGGTGTTTATCCTGAGTCCAGTCCATGAGCCAAGCTACAGTTTTTACTCATCTTGCTCTGGATCACCTTCTGACCCTTTCCACCAAAACTAAACATTTCCAAATTCATGCAAGAAACGCCAGAGAAGCAGGATAATGTGATAAATAAAGGAAATACTGACCATTAGTGTGGCAAAGAGACCACACTGGGATGTCTTTTACTCATGGATGTGCCAAATACTTATTTCAGTCTGCTCTGTGCCTAGAAGCCAGGCTTCCAGTGCCATTGAAATCAGTGAGCTTCTATTCTTCTAAATCCATTGAAAACAATGAGTTTAGAAGGGTAAATCCGCTTAGGATGGCAGTGTTTAGGAATTCATTGCTTTTATTGCATTGGAAAAAGCTAATTTGAGTAACATTGGCTAAAAAGAAAACAATTCAGTCCAGTTTCTGGAAAAAAACACCCCAAATTTATATATGTGGTGTAAATTTGAAACCTGTTGCAAAGCCTTTCATGAAAACATTACAAATCATGAACCAATATTCATTAACTGGTATAAGCTAGAGGGTAAGGAGGCACAGCATTGTCAAAATGTGCCTATCACTGAAAGTATAATTCCTCTCGGCAATATACATCCATCAGAAATGTGTATTTCACTTTTTGCTCATTCCACCCTAACTTATCAAGGATATGATGTGAAAAACAGACATTACGTAAAATCATGTTTAACTGAGTTAACTAGGGTTAATATTATAACCCAAATATAGACCATTCCACTAACTATAGCTACGTAGGGTACCTCAAAACAGAATCCCTCAAGCCCTGGTCTGAAGTTGGCTTATTAACCACAGTTATACTAAACTACGGTTTCATGACACATACAAGCATGAACATTCTTAAACCTGGCTTGTTTCCTGGTGCTCCCCTCACAGTCTAGATATCAGCTCAAACTTGAAACCTCTCTCACCTTACAACATGGGGGGGATAACAGAAGATCTCCAGGCACTGGCCCCATTGCCATCTCCATTCCATAGGCCAGTGGGAGGGGGGGAGAATTGGAGTGGACTCACCAGCATCTTACCAATGCATGATATCACTTTTGTTGAAAAACCAGAAGTGACATCATCACTTGGAGAAACACTCCAGGATTTGCCCAAAACTATAGAGTGTCACCCTGACATGTTCTTAAAGACTAACAAAAAAATTGTGGTATCTGAAGAAGTGAGCAGTGCCTCATGAAATCTCATACCCTGCCACAAATGTTGGACTAGCTCTTATCTGCTGCAGGACTAGCTCTTATCTGCTGCTACAGACAGACTAACAGGGCTATCCATCTTGACCCTGACATGATAACATCAATTCCAGTTTTGTGTCAGAAGTGACATTGCATGTTGGCACAATACTAGCGCAACTATCTAGTTGCTGTGGCAGGCACCATACATCAGCACCTCCTACTAGCAATCTTCCTAATCAATGCAAGCAGCATTTCTCAAATAGTAAAATGATGTTGTCGAAGGCTTGTGTCCTTGACACAGAGTGTATTCCATCTTTCTGTGTTTATACCTCTGAGGATGCTAGTCACAGTTACTGGCAAAACCTCAGGTTCTACAATGTCAAGACCACGGCCACACATCCCGGAAAATCGACAGCAACTAGTAAAATGATGGTTCAGCCATCTCCAATATACCGTTAGAGTCCCTAGGTTGCTGTATGGCAACAGTAAATTTGTGATCGTTTAAGAAACATCAAATTCAGGGCTATTTTTGGGCAGGAACGCACAGGAACGGAGTTCCGGCTGGCTTCCAAGTTGGCCACACCCAGCAGGAACTCATTAGCATAATAGGCCACACCCAAAAGCAGAAACTCATTAGAATTGGCTACATTAGGGGTGTGTGGCCTAACATGCAAAGGCGTTCCTGCTACAAAAAAGCCCTGGGTTTTGACAACAAACAAGGTAAACAGAATAAGAAGCAAAAGGTGGGTGTGGCTGGATGACCACACTTCTGGTAACATGGGGGTGTGGCCTAATATGCCAATGAGTTGTACTGTCAGGGGTGTGGCCTAATATGCTAATGAGGTCCTGCTGTTGGGTGTGGCCTATTATGCTAATGATTTCCTGCTGGGCTTTTTGTACAAAAAAAAGCCCTGATCAAATTGTTATTTGTTCCCTGGTGGCCTCTCCCTTCTCTGTTGCTTTCTATAGGCTTTGATATAGAGACCAACCTGGGACTTTTAAAATCACACTTTGACAAGATGTTTATTGTCAGGGGACATTTGTCTAGACATAAATTGAAGCTAAGCTGACAGCTCCCAAAAGGAAAGCTAAAATAATATGCTGCTAAACCATCTGAACTACGGCTGACCTTAGTGACAGCGTGAAGTGGGACATACAATTTTAGCAATACCCAGCCCTTGAACATAATTAAACATATACCAGTTCAAATGGATCAGGTTGATTCTAGAAACTAGATGATTAAAAGCAGACAGCCAACAGACAGTTAAATGTGATTTTCTCCAAATCCCAGCTCTCCTGATATCAGAGGTTGCAACCAAGAGTCCATTCGGAATCCATCAGTCTGTCCATAGCCAAGATGTCACGGAGCCAGTTTCGATCAGACATTTCCCTTCATGTGCAAAGTATATAATTCCCTTGAATTTCGCTGTAGATATGCTTACAGTAACTGGCTGCTAACATTGATCTATTTTGAACCACATTCCTAAAAGTTAAGGGCACTTACGTTTTTCTACAGTGTCCACTGATTCCCCTTCCCACTCTAGACCCCCTCATTATGATGGTCCTGGGGATCCAATGACCACAACCAGAAGAAACTTTGGGAGGGGCTCAGCAGGCTGCCCCAGGGGACAGAATTAGCAGAAATCACCACCTCTTTTTAAGAAAGGCTAAGACTGGCTCAAGTGGTTAAGACGCTGAGCTGCAGGCTGTGGAAGGTCAGTAGTTCAGCAGTTCGAGACCCGAGTTGCCGCATGATGGAGTGAGCTCCCGTCTCTAGTTCCAGCTCCTGCCAACCTAGCAGTTCGAAAGCAAGAAATTGCAAGTAGATAAATAGGTACCACTTCGGTGGGAAGGTAACAGCGTTCTGTGTGTCTTGGTGTTTAGTCATGCCAGCCACATGACCACGGAAACGTCTTCGGACAGCGCTGGCTCTTCGGCTTTGAAACGGAGATGAGCACCGCAACCCTAGAGTCGGACTCGACTGGCTTTCGAGCAAGGGAACCTTTACCTTTACTTTAAGAGTATTTTATTGTTGCAAAAAGTTACCAATTTTCCAATCTACATTGTCAGAATATTTACCGGTGACATTGGCATGTAGAAAGATCCAGGCAGGGGTAGCCTGTCGATGAGGCAGCCCTAGGCAAGCACCTAGCGTGCCGAAGGTGGAGGAGTGCCAACCAGTCCAGCCGCTCCCCCAGCCCATGGCCTCTGTGTTGGCCCAGGGTTTGCCCAGTGAGTTGCTGGCAGGGAGCCTGCTCCCTCTCTCCTTCCTTCTGTTGTGAATGGGGTAGAGATGGGGCAGACCCAGGGCCTAGCCCAGCTTGCTTCCTCCTTCTGTCTACTATTCCTGAGGAGGAAGGCAGTGGCTTCCTGCCATGCTGCTGGGGGGATGAGAAGGGTGGCCACAACTGAGACCTGCCATCGGGCCTTGCTCCACAGCCGGGGCAGGGGGGGGACAAGAAGAAGAAGGAGAAGAAGAAGAGATTGGATTTATACCCCGCCCTTCACTACCCAAAGGTGTCTCAGAGCAGCTTACAAACTCCTTTCCCTTCCCCTCCCCACAACAGACACCCTGTGAGGTAGGTGGGGCTGAGAGAGCTCATGGCAGAAACTGCTCTTTCTCAAGAACAGCTCTTATCAGAACTACGGCTTGCCCAAGGTCATCCAGCAGGTGCAGGTGGAGGAGTAGTGAATCAAACCCGGTTCTCCCAGATTAGAGTCCACGCACTTAACCACTACACCAAACTGGCAGGCAGTGGCTTCTTCCCATGGCCTGCAAGGGACAAAGAGGGCAGGTGACATCTTCCCATCTCTCAAAGGCATGGGGGAGGCTTGGGAGCTGTAGCCTACAGTACCCTAAATCCTTGGCTGGGCTGGCCCTGGATCCAGAAGAAGAAAACCTAGTATCTGTCTATATGTGAGTGTGAGTGGGCTAGGACTTGATTGTGGAAGAAAGTCCCTTCCCTGTATTTTCCTGGACACCCACTGTGAAAATGAAATTAAACATAACATACAATATGCAGAAGTCAAAGTGATGGATTTGGCCCAAATCCCAAACCAATGATACAATCCACTGAAATGTTCTTCGGCATACACTCTAGTTATATGCAAGGGAGCTGTGAAAACATATATAGCATTAACTTCTATAGCACGGATGCCAAAGAACATCTCGGCACCATGTCCATTTCAAGCATTTTGTTCTGGAAGAATCCTATGCAATTCTCCACAACATATCTTTCTAATTTTGGAGGCTTTTCATAGATCAATGCTAAACAATGAAGTATTTCAAAATTATTGACCTGAAAGCCTTGTATTTAATTGTCCTGGAAAACATAGACCAGACACATATGCAGACAGAATTATTACCTTCCTCTGAGGCAACCATATTTTCAACATTCTCCTGCTCCCCTTCAGCATGGTTGGCAACAGCACTCCCACTTTTTGTCCTCCGAAGAACGCTGAAAGCTCTGTTGATTTTCTTAAAGGACCGGCTTCTTATTGTGGAACGTTCGAAATGACGAGCTACGCCAAAGAGAATTTCAAAAAAGGAACAGAGTGAAAAGAGTCTTTGGTTACAGAATCAGAAGGACTCACTCTGAGAATTGCTGGATGGAGAAGACTGATGTTCAGTTTTCCCTATTTTCTCCCTGAGTCACCATTCCATATGGGCTTGGATCCCACCTTGATTTCCCCAGGCACAAGGGGGGCGATTTTCTTCCCTTCTGTGGTAGCCCAAACCAAACCCCAAAATGCTCCTTCTGGGAGATGAGGGACTCCCAGGAATAGTCTGATGGGATCAGAGAAAATCACCCTTTCAGAATAACACGCCTCCTCAGAATGACACATAGCAAATGGGAATATCTTCCAGAGCTTGCAAGCTTCAGTGTAGGGCCATGCAACGTAAACATTTACCAAATGGGGTTGAAAATTTGGATGGGGTACTGGCGGGAAGGAAGTATTTGGGGGAAAGCAATAAAGAACTTAAAATTTTGACCCTTCCACCTCCTCCTCCTCTCCCCAGTCATATGATGTTGCTTGTGCAGACTTTTAATATGATATGATTTGGGCTTTTTGGGTTTATGCTTTTAATCTTTTTCACTACAAAGAAACTGAGAGCTGCTTTGGGTGTTAAGTTTTCACATTCATGTTTGAAAATTCAGTATAAGCAAGTAACCAGAAAATAGCTGAACATACACATCTGTAACACTGGAAAGACCAAACATACAGTGCAATCCAATGAACACTTCCTGGGAGTAAGCCCCATGGAAGAAGCCTGAGTAGGATTCTGAGTAGACCTGCTTAGGATTGCTCTCATAAGAACAAGAAGTTGGTGGATTAAGCCAACTTGCTCACTCAACCTTGCTCAATTCTCTTTTTTTTGCTAAAGCCCTCATTCCACATGGGCTTTGCCCATGCATTTCCCATGATCCCCAGCATAACCTTTTTATTGGTTCTTCCCTTTTTCACCACCAGAATAGCTGGTTGGATCCAACCACATGTCTTTCATAGGCGTTGTATTTCCTTGCAGTGTACTCGTCATTACTCATGTCCTACCATTCTGATACAACATTACAGTATGTCTACTGACCCATTTCCTGGACATCTTTACACACGCCACACAAACGGAGACATGTAGCACTAAACTATCCTAAAGCCCCAAATCTCCAATTATGTAAGAGTTTGCTCTGGCAAGTTTCTTATGTTTTCCTCTATATAATTCCCTTCTCTCTATTCCTTCTTTGTTACCAGAATATTCGATAGCACTCTTTTCTCACTCAAAAACAATCTGTGCACATTCCTCTTATTTTATAACTTGCGAGGTAAGAAGTTGGTTTTTATACCCCGCTTTCCTAGACCCTAAGGCGTCTCAAAGTGGCTTACAATCACCTTCCCTTCCTCTCCCCACAACTGGCACTTAGTGAGGTTGGCGGGGCAGAAAGAGTCCTGAGAGAACTGTGACCGGCCCAAGGTCACCCAGGAGGCTTCATGTGGAGGAAGTATGGGGAATCAAACCCAGTCCTCCAGATTAGAGTCCACCACTCTTAACCACTACAACCATGCTGATTTAGGCTCTGAAGGCCCCACAGATTTTCTGCTCATCTTCCTCTCACCAGCCACTTTCCACAATATCAGCTTTTTGTTCACAAACGCCAGCAGATGTTTGTGTCCCCCCCTTTCTCTTAAAAGTGATACAACATCTTTGTCATGCAAATATTCAAAACAACGGTTCCTTTAAAGAGGGGTCAACGGAGTTTGTGGTGCCCTTCGCTGGTTCTTACGTCTAGTTTGGCTGCTTCTGGGAAGATCTGCAGAGCTGGGTCCCGACTGGCAGTCCTCAGAGGTGGTGCTGAAGGCAGGGTTGATTAAGCCCGGCTCGTCTGTCATTAAGGCTATAGTGGCGGCGGCAGAGAGCTCTGGGCCAAGAGCAGCAACAGTCAAAGCAGCGCTAGAGTCAGGAGATCCATCCTGGGAACGTCGCTTTCGGTCCTTGGTAAGGCCGTAGTGGGATGCTCCTTTACATCTAAGAATAAGGCAAGGGAGAGAAAAGAAGATGATATTGTGGAAAAAAATCAGTTGTGTTTAGGAAATTGGCTGTTTAATGAAATTAGATTAAAACAGAAGGAGAAGGAGGAGGATTTATACCCTGCCCTTCACTACCCAAAGGAGTCTCAGAGCGGTTTACAAACTCCTTTCCTTCCCCTCCCCACAACAGACACCCTGTGAGATAGGTGGGGCTGAAAGAGCTCTTTCGAGAACTGTTCTTGACAGAACAGATCCAAGAGAGCCATGACTGACCCAGGGTCGCACCAGCAGCTGCATGTGGAGGAGTGGGGAATCAAACCCGGTTCCCTCAGATTAGAGTCCGTGCTCCTAACCACTACACCAAACTGGCTTTACGCACCTAACCACTACACCGAACTGACTAGAGGCAGGTCATAACTTTTTCAGAGAAATGAAGGAGGAATAACTTAAAGGTAAAGGTTCACTTGCTCGAAAGCCAGTTGAATCCGACTCTAGGGTTGCGGTGCTCATCTCCGTTTCAAAGCCGAAGAGCCAGCGCTGTCCGAAGACGTTTCCGTGGTCATGTGGCCGGCATGACTAAACACCACGGCGCACGGAACGCTGTTACCTTCCCACTGAAGAGGTACCTATTTATCTACTTGCAATTTCTTGCTTTCGAACTGCTAGGTTGGCAGGAAGGAATAACTTAGCCAGATTGTTTCTCCCACTGCTATTATGAGTAAATGGGATTTGTAGGGTTTTGTGAGATCTGCAAATGTTTGACTCTAAAAACAGTGGGAGAGAAGGGACAAGCCATGGCCGTTCTATCTTATCACCCTCAAATCTCTGAACAAACTGTTGTCTGTCCCCAGTGAAGTAACAGCAGGGAACTCAGCACTTAACATGAAGCCGTTTTGTTGAACCATGTGCTGCATTACACAGCGAGCACTATGAAAAGGTGTCAGGCATGTCCTGTTTTCCACACAAGTAAAGATGGGGAGAGGGAGAAGACAGCACCCAGTAATCAGGGATTAAATTATTAATTCACACAAAAAGCCTGCTTTTGGTGAAGAAGCCGTTCTAACAACATGTCTCTGTCTGCAGTTGTAACTCCAGTGCAGACGAAGCAGAGCGGCGAGCCCAGCAGGTGACTGAGGAAAACAAAGAATGGATTCTATAGTCAGTCTTTTGTCTTAGGCTAATGAAAGAGACCAGTGTGAGGCAGGAAAGCTTGTTTGTGTCAGTTTGCGGGGAGGGGTACACACTCAAGACATGGCTGAATTCTGCATCATGACAAACAGCGTCTGTCAAAGACACCGTCCCTTCAGGAGTGCACTTGCAGCTGCCTCCCAGATTTCCGCGTTCCCTCTGGCTTTGCAAAAGGCGCTCCCAGAAGCGATTGGACAGAGAGGCCACCCTTCTTGTTTCACCTGCTGGATTGCTGTTGAGTTGGCAGAATTGTTGCAAAGAGTAATTAACACGTGGCATTCACTGCCACAGGAAGTGGTCGTGGCTACAAGCATATACAGCTTCAAGAGGGGATTATTCATTTTTTTATTATTTCGATTTATATCCTGCCCTTCCCGCAAGCGGGCTTGGATAAACATATGGAGCAGAGGTCCATCAGTGGAACACTATGTCTGAGGCAGTGATGCTCTGTATTCTCGGTGCTTGGGGAGCAACAGTAGGAGGGCTTCTGGAATTATGGACCTGCTGGTGGACTTCCTGATGGTACCTGGGTTTTGGCCAGTATGTGACATAGAAGGTGCGTTCAGACGCACTGTTTCAGCCAACATAAACTGTACCGGTTGGAACCGGTGCAGTTTATGCCGGCTGAAACGCGATCACACTCACCACCTGTCTGCGGATCCCATCGCTGTATGCCCGTCCACACACAGCGGGCATCGGCATTTTTTGTTTTTTTAAAAACTCAGTTTGAGCATGCGCATAGACAGCCATCCACAGAATGGCGATCCTTGCGCATGCGCAAAAAACCCCATCTTACATTTCAACTTTAAAGGTAAGGACTTACCTTTAAAGTTTAAAGAGCAAAGTAGCCTCCCTGAGGTCCCAGACGCCTCCGAAACGCTAAACTAAGGCCCTTTTCTTTTTTAAAAAACAAACGCCCCAAGCGCATATCGCCGACCTTTAAAAAAAATGGCGGGCGAAAATCGGAAGCCTCAGGCTTCCGAACGGAAGTTGTTTCTCAACGGTGGAAAGCGATCAGACGGCGGGTACAGCGATTACAACCGTTGTACTCAGGATACCACCACTTGGGGACCTAGTGGCAGAGTACAATGGTTTAAAGGGCTTTGCAACGGTTAGGGACGGAAAGCAGATGTTCTACGTGTGAACGCCGGTAAGTACACCGATTGCAACCGGCACCTATACCGTTGCAAATGCCGCGTCTGAACGCACCCAGAGTGTTGGACTGGATGGGCCATTGGCCTGTTCCAACATGAGGACTACTAATAAAGGCCCCTCTCATACAGATCCCCCCCCCCAAAATCAATTCAGATACTATAGTATTGCCAACCTCCAGGTGGGGGCTGGAGACCTTCCAGAATTACAATTGATCTGCAGACTATATAGATAGCTTATTTATTTATTGTTTATTTATTTAAAACATTTATTTCACTTCATCTGGAGGAAATGGCTGCTTTGGAAGGTGGACTGCATCATATCCTACTGACATTTCAGCAACGTGCCCACATGACTTCCAATGTGACACGGAAGTGATGTGGGGTGACGCTCTGGATTCTGGGCAAAAACTCTATGGTAGAATTAGATACATGGTAGAGCCATCAATGACGATGTGGTATCATTTTCAGGGGAAAAAACTTTTAAGTGATGTCTGTCCTCTCTAGGAATTGCCAAATCTCTGTGATTCATACAGAGGACTGACTTCACCTCAAGACTTTTGTGCTGGCCACTGCAATGCTGGTGGGCAACAGCTCCTCAAGGCAAGAGAACTCTAGCTCTCAGAGGGCATTTGGCAACCCTAAATCCCTGCTTAACTATGAAGTCACTGGATGACTTAACATTTACAGGGTGGTTGTGAAGGTAAAAATGAAACAATGATCTACTGTAAACTAGCTTTGGGCACTAAGAAAGAAATCAAACCACAAACCCATTAACAATGAAAAGACACACAGTACATTCAGAAGAAGAAGAAGAAGAAGAAGAAGAGATTGGATTTATACCCCGCCCTTCACTACCCAAGGGAGTCTCAGAGTGGCTTACAAACTCCTTTCCCTTCCCCTCCCCACAACAGACACCCTGTGAGGTGGGTGGGGCTGAGAGCTCTGACACAAACTGCTCTTTCAGGAACAGCTGTGCCAGAGCTTGTGACTGACCCAAGGTCACATCAGCAGGTGTAAGTGGAGGAGTGGGGAATCAAGCCCTGGTTCTCCCAGATTAGAGTCCGCACACTTAACCACTACACCAAACTGCCCTAAACTAAGCTATAGCTGAAATTTCAGATGGGAGATGGTCTGGGTCTAAAGCTTGAATTGAAAGCCAGTGTGCTGCAGTGGCTAGAGTGTCAGACAAGGACCTGGGAGACCCAGTTTTGAATCCCCGCTCTGCGATGGAAGCTCGCTGGGTGACCTTGGGCAAGTCACAGACTCTCAGCCTCCCCTACGGCACAGGGTTGCTGTGAGGATGAAATGGAGGAGAGGAGAATGATGTAAGCTACTTTAGGTCCCCACTGGGGAGAAAGGTGGGGTATAAATGAAGTAAACGAGTAAATAAATAAAAAGCTTCTGAGATGGAAAAGGCTCAAGTTCAGCCCTACACAACTTGTTGTGACCCACCCTGCTGAGCACAACACATCCACTATCAGAAGCTCAATAAACTCCCTTTTACTGCCTACCTAGGACCATAAGGGATAAGATCAGGAATAAAGTAAAGGTAAAGGTTTCCCTCTGACTCTAGGGGGAGGTGCTCATCTCCATTTCCAAGCTGAAGAGCCAGCGCTGTCCGAAGACTTTTTCCATGGTCATGTGGCCAGCATGACTAAATGCCAAGGTGCATGGAATGCTGTTACCTTCCCACCAAAGCAATACCTATTTATCTACTTGCAATTCCTTGCTTTCAAACTGCTAGGTTGGCAGGAGCTGGGGCCAGAGATGGGAGCTTACTCCATCACGCGGCACTCGGGTCTCGAACTGCCGAGCTACCAACCTTCCAGTCTGTAGCTCAGCATCTTAACCTCTGAGCCACCGCGGCCAAGATCAGGAATACACAAGCCTTAAAAGCAAACATTGCTCAAATTTTCTAGTTTACTTGTTTACTTGGTATTAATCTTCTATGACATTTCTCTCTCAGTCACATATAGGGCAAGCATTCGCTCAAAGAGTTTTCACACTTGAACGCCTGACTACCACACAGTAAGGAACATTAAAGATTAATTGTATATTTAAACAGAGTTGTACAAGAAGAACATAGAATCAGGCCACTTTGAGGAAATTGCCCATCGCTTCTCTCCACAGCCAACCCCATTCTGCCACTGCAATGGTTCAAAACATGTTTCTTCTTGTAATTAATTCTGCTTTTTAATCAGTCCCTAATGTGCTTGCCCTACTTTCTGTTCCTGTTATATTTTCTCCATGGCTAAGGACAGCTGATGACTTTCATACAAACGCCCTCCAGGAAGGAAATATGGAAATAGCTGTCAGGCTGTTAATAGACAACATTGCTCTAATGATCAACCCACACGTTACCTGATCTACAAGGCAGCTGCTTCTATATGCCAGCTCCACCTACCAAAATGTGAAGTGGAAATTTCAAACGATCTCCCAAGCAGTGTCACTGGCACAGAAATCCTACGGTATCAGGTCTTTCCATGTCAGAACCAATATTACTATCAAGCCTCAAGGCCACTATTATCTACATATATTTCAACCTGGCTTCTGATCCAGTTTTAATCAGAGACTGGTTGTCCTGATGGACAACCTTTGCTAGGAGAGAGCAGGGGAGTACATCACAGGTGATTCCCATTTGACTTGCATCACTACT